TGCTTTGGTCTACATCACTGGTTACGTAAGCAACAACACATGTTCATAGTATTGAGTTGGTGCTCGATAGTATGGCTGAACTTGACAAAAGACATTTATGGTGGAGCAAAATGTAACCACTGCATGGAAATAACTTTATGCAAGGGTAGAAGTCTATCTGACAAGAAAATGTCCTGCAGAATAGTGCCAGAGTTTTTGATGTCTTTAGTGATTCTCATATTGCCAGAGAATTGGCTTATGTGTTTAAACCAAGTACAAAACTGCAATTTCTGCGTGGCAAGAGAAAATGGAATATATATATATATATCATAGATACTGATGGTCCTGGAATCAGAGACATGTTTTCCCAGCTTCACGTGCTGCTTCCTGTCCGTCAGGAAGTCTGTGATCCACCTGCAGGTGGAGTCAGGCACGTTCAGCTGGGAGAGCTTGTCCTGCAGCATGATGGTGTTGAAAGCAGAGCTGAAATCCACAAACAGGATCTTGGATGATGAGATGAATTAAAGTCTCTGTTTTTCCCCACTAGTAGATAAATATTGCCGGTAGTGGTGTGCGGAGTCCTCGCCATCGGAAACGCACAAGCGTCCTGACTCGTTTATCACTCCTGTTGCGCTTCACAGCCCGAACAACAGCGAGCGTGTCCTTCACCAAAATGTCCAATATTCCACTGATGATGCGAGAAAAGTGGGAAATAAATCCGCTGGTTTTCCCTTGATGTGCATGAGCTCTTCTCTGGTGAAAGAGCTCTAGGAATCACAGCCGCAAACGGTATTAACACAAAAACAAAACACAGCACACCTAACACCATGGCAGCTATATGCAGCGCCATCTTGGTTTGCCCATCTTTGTTTCTAAGATGCAGAAATGAACAAAACAACACACCCTCACAGCAAAACACAAACTGAAGTGCCCAAATTATGCAGATAGGCATTTCAAGCCCAGTGGTTGGCCTCAGGCAGCCTTCTTATGGCCAACTTGTGAAAGGCAGATGGTCACTTTACTGTCACAGCGAAGGAAATGGTTGGAGGATGGAGAATGATTTGTCCAAATTGGGATAATGGCACACAGTTTCAATTATACATTCATAGAGTGACAGAAGTAGTTGTGAAGAATGGAAAAAGAACATTAGGGAGAAAAGTTCAAATCCTGCCTACTTTCATTCTGCCACACACCTGGCCAGTCAGTGTGATGGGCATGACTGTTAGATTGTCTGTTTCAGAAAGGTTCAAAAAGTATTGGATGCAGTACCACTGAATTTGCCATCACAAAGGGGCTTTCAGATGCAGATGCAACAAACACATTGTTTGAAGCATATTGGAGCCTTAAGAATAGATTCATACATAGCGATACTTTTTTCAGGCTTGTGCAATTTTTAGGTAAATCGTTTTAGACAACTATGGAAACAGTGTTTATTGCATACCAGTCACGTCTGGCCAATGCCTGAACCATTTAAGAAAGTTAGCATTGGTGCTGATAGTAGCACTGATACCAGTGACAGATTCAATTTTATTGACCCTAGTGACACAATTGGCAAAGCTGTACAAATACCAACCATGTTTGATATGGATGGGACTTGCGCAAGCAAGTGCTGTTGTCCTCGGAAACAGCAGCAGTCGACCTTTTCACAGCATAGTTGTGAAGAGGCCTTGTAAAATATGTATTGTCTTGAGCCCATCCTTTCTGTGAATTTGTACCCGCATTGAGCTCCTCCTTTCTGTGAATTTGTAGAATTGGACCTGCCCCTTATTTAGGCAAATGTCCTTGATCCTCCCTTTTTAATGACAGTTCTGCAACTCTGCTGTCAGTCAACCTGCTGTGACTCCAGTTAAACAGCAACTAGGGAGCGTTCTTTTCCACACAAAACTCTGTGTGTGTGTGTGTGTGTGTGTGTGTGTGTGTGTGTGTGTGTGTGTGACTAAAAATAGCCTACAGTCCTCCTGCTTGAGTGTACATGGCAGACGGTGTTTACAAGGTGCCAAGTTTGTATCTGTCATCATTCACAGTTCAGCATTGTCTGAGTGTGTGTGTGTGGGTGTGGGTGTGTGTGTGTGTGGGTGTGCACTTGCCTGTGTGTATGTCATCTAAACATTTCTTCTATCAGGTTCCAAGAAATGGAGGCCTCTTTCCAGTATCTCTTTTGTCCTGAAATGTAGAGAATCTGTACATTTGATTTTAAAAACAGAAATGTACAAGGTAGTCATTTATTTTTATCATTATCATTTATTTTTCTTATACCTTGTCACCTGGCATAACGCCTGAGGCCGTGAGGTGTGTGGTTAGCTCCAGCGATATTGGTGCTAAACTGCAGGTGTGCTAACGGTTAGATGATCCGGGTGTGCAGGAAGTTTTGGATTTTCATTGTTGCGTGAATAAAAAGTCCGTTATTTTGTCTCCTCTGTATTTGTCAATGAAATAGATATAGATATTCTGTTTTATTTTCAAATACCATTTTTCGTCAAAGATATTTGAAGATTTAGTCCGCTTTTGTTTCTTAAAGTCTGCTTTGTCTCATCTTTATTATAGGACAAAGGCTGTTAACAACATTTGTTAACACTATTATCATTACACCACCAGCAACAGCAACAACAGCAACACTACCACCAAAGCAAAATAGAACTGAAATCTTGTTCGTCATGATTTCAAAATGAGAACACCGTGTAGCTAAGCCTTGCAAAGGCAGCTGAAAATGTGCCCGGCAGCCTGTGTTCCATTTGAACAACTGCAGATTTGTTCCAGTGTTGGTTCTGTTCAGTATGTAGTCTGACACACTCTTTGGGCCCTCTCACAAGCAGAGAGACTCTCATGGAGTTGGATAGTCTGGCACTATGCATTTAGGAAAGAGGCTACAGTACTGCATGTTCCAATCCCTTCACTGTGGACTTCAGCTGTGCACCACAGGGTTTGGACTTTGAAGATTAATAGCTGTAATCTAGTAAGTTCAAATACACCGTGTGTCGGATCTGTTTTGGAGGGCTTATTGAATAGTAGGTTTTGCATGAATTCATAATGGCTGCCAAATCAAATTCTTTATACTTTTTTTTTCTTGTAAATCCCAGAAAAAGAACCAACGCATTGCTCATAGGGCCGCCATCTAGACAATTTCTGTCATCTGAGGAGGCTGCGTGTGTCTGTGGGTGTGGTGATGTTTGATTGTTGTTATTACTAATATCCAATTTTTTTCCACCAACGTCTCCCATGCTGCTGAAATCAGCCATGATGACCTTGACGGACCAGTTGATGCGGGTTTACGTAAATACCTTGCGGTGTTGTGACAGGAGGCCAAAAGGAAGTCATTAGTGCCCCTGTTCCTGTCCACCACCCAGGGGCATTATGGGAGGGTGAGCTGGTGTCTGGGCGGTGTACAAAACCTGGCACTTCCTGTCTCTTGTTCTGCTGACATGACTTCTTTTGTATGTGTGTGTTTTAGTGTTTTTAAGCGTATGTATGTAGTTTCACAGTAAGTATTATTTGTGTGTGTGTGGCGTTATGCTGGGGTCACAGTTTGGGTTGGGGCTTGACTGGTTTTCGGCCAGTGAGAAGTTCAAAAGACAACCTACTTTATAGAATAGACTGAGACTGAGGGAGATTTTTCAGCCCCGGTGTGCAATTCATTGTTCTACTACACTGACCTCTGACCTTTAGAAATGACTAGGGATGGGGATTGTTAATTTTTATTGATATTGATAACCTTATTGAGACTGCTTAACAATCCGATTTTGTATCGATACCACTATTGATACTTTACTATTATTTAGCGATGGTTATTTGGTAAGACCAGACCCAAGGGGCATGAGGTAGGCCTGCACGGTATGAGGAAAATATTCAATGTGCGATAACGTTATATATTGACATGACATATCACTTGCGATAAATAAACATATATTGAAGTGTAGGCTACATATTAACTGCCTGGTTGTTTTTAATTTCATATTTTAAATACAGCTAAATGTTGTTTCTACAGCAGCAACATTAATGTTTACAACTGCAAAGTAACTCAATAACTTTATCTGACATCACAAGTAGTGAGTGAGGTTTAGAAAGAACAACATCAGTATCTGTATCAGTCCCTCCTCTCTCGCTGGCTGCAGGTAACGTTACCAGGTAGAAAGAGGAGCGGCTGATTTGTCTCAGCCAGCACCTGAGTTTTTAAAACTACAGACCAGTCTTTGCTCCAGAAAGACAGCTCTCTATTTAGCTTCTTTTTAATATTTGGCTAATGCCAAGCTAGCGTATATTATTGTATAAAACATACAGGATGAGATACTGAGGACAGAGATGATTAAATGAACCATTTCTACATGTTTAACGTTACCTTACAGTCAGGTGTATTGATAAAGTATTGTCTTTTTACTTGCGAAAGTTTTATTGCGCATACTTACAGTAACGAGCGTAGTTATCAACTATCGTTACAGTAGTTTGGAGCTAACTTAACCCTCACCGTATTCCACCGCGACGGCGCAGCCTCTTGCTCTGCTGCTGCTGTGTGTGTGTGTGTGTGTGTGCGCGTGTGTAGGAGCCGACAGAGAGCAGGCAGACTGCAGCCTGATGATTTTCTTATCCATTGCATTTCTAATTAAATCAGATTTGACACTCGAGAAATAACATTACATCATAGGACCCGCAAGTCTCGAAAGCAGTATCGATAAGCTCGAGCCTTATTGATTTTCGAGTTTTGAGAAATTTTGGAACCGGGTCCTTTTGGAACTGGGTCTCAATCCCCATCCCTAGAAATGACCCTGATGGACCAGAGGTCTTCCAGGTCAGTATAAGGTTGAAGAAAAGTAAAGCCAGTCAGCAAGGCTGCAAAAAAGCTGGAAAGCCTGAAATGCTTCAAATCAGGAAGAGATTTGGGTCATATTTTCACTGTCTAATCATTGATTCAAAGAACTTTCCTAGAGTTAAATTGCACCTTTGGAAAAATGAAAAATAAATCTTGTCTCTTCTCTGCTTGTTGGTACATATAACTCTGAAACTAATGTCCTTGCCATGTCGGTTTCCAGATGTATGGGCGATACACCCAGGAACTCGGGGAGTACGCCAAAGAGGAGGCCGCACGGCTGAGGGAGAGCGGGCAGAGGCGATCGCTCAGCGAACGAAGCCGGACCCTGGACCTGCTGGAGTACGAAAAGGGACGCTGTGCCAAGTGTCGCAGTAAGTTTCACACTACACGGTCAACGCTGAGACTGATGCAAAGCAAAGTGTTCAAACAGATCCGCTTGAAATGTAAACTTATCCTGCCAGTATACACAATGTCTACAAATTATGATCCAAATCCTGTTATTTAGGAAAAGTGATGCTAATTCTTCTGTATGGAACTTCTGCAACTCGAAATATTCCACTCATTTGTATAAAAAAACCTAATTTGGCGGGAGGTCTATAAAATCAAGAAGAATGCTTGTAGGCAGCAGAGCTGAGCCATGTCAAAATTTTCCATTGTGACCCAATACAAAACATAATTGTCCTCAATTAAGTCTACTGTTATTGTTTTTTTTGTGTGTGGCTTTTTGAAATATAAACATGTAAAATGTCTAAAAGATTTGACATTTAAGGATAGAATGTGTGTCAGAATATGTGTCTTATAGCTTTATGTGGAATGAATATTCATCCAATTGTCACATCTTTGATCAAAGAAACAATCAAATACTGCTCAGCCCTGGTGGGCAGAGCCTATTTTAGTTCCTCCAAGAACAATTTTATAAAATCTCTTTGGGATTACATTACAATTTAAATAGCTCGACATGAATCCTGTACGGCTCTGCGTGAACCACAAAAAGAAGGTAAGAAAGCCTGAAATGCTTCAAATCAGGAAGAGATTTGGGTCATATTTTCACTGTCTAATCATTGATTCAAAGAACTTTCCTAGAGTTAAATTCATAAAATACAAGCACTCACATAGTATCTCAGTACCTTAGCACTTAAGACCATTGTACTGTAAATCATCGCTCATCATACCACTTTATATGTGATATTTACAAGCAGTCAATAATGAGGTGTGCCTTGAAACAGAGTGCCCTGTGGTACTAAGAAGGTCAGGAACAGTGATTCACTCAACCTTTCACGTGTATTTTAATGTCACTGAACATCATATTTTACTGTAGTCTGAGCTACAGTCCGCTGATTCGCTAACTGCTCACAGGGATTTCTCTGGAGCCCTTCTAATGGGACTAAAAAACCAGATGAGCGAGAGAAACGTGATGGGTTTATTAAAATCTGAGAAGTCTGGAAATGTCACAGACTTGGATGTTTACATGAATATTGTATAGGAAAGGAGAAAGAATTTCATTTTTAGACTGAATTAAAAGATATCGTATGAATAATCATTGGTGATGACTGCAGTTCAGACAGTCATGTCAGTTTGCGTCACAGCTGCAGTGGTAACTTTAAGCATTATACTGTAAAATACAATATATCTGCCCTATTAAAAGAAAGAGTAACAGTATACACTCCATATAGCAGCCTGAACCATCTGAAGCATCACTGCCTGAAGGGGGAACAACATTTGAACATTACCTTAGTGTTAGAAATGTAATACTAAAGGCAGTTTACTGCTCAAAAAGAGACTTACTGCTTTTTGCTTTGGGAGCATTGATCATGTTGAACAGTGGGATAGGAAGGAAAGGAGAAGAAATGCTGCAGCTCTGGACAATCGTCACAACAAAAATCCTGTGCTGTGAGTCTGTGGATGAATCCGGTATTTAAATGCATAGGTGGATTCATGTTAAGATTCCCCCACCTTTCCCTTTGCACTGTTGTTGGGAATAATAATAACTGTGTGTGTGTGTGTCAGGGTGAGACTGTGCGCGGTAAGTAAAAATCCCTTCTCTCATCTTCCACATGCATCAGAATGACTTGTGTTTACAGCCTGTGTTTAATCCTGTTATGCGTCCTATACACAGTCTTACCTAATGTCATGATCATTTGCTTCATGGGGGCGCGCGCACACACACACACACACACACAGCATCAGTTGCAAATGGGGTGTGTATGTGGTTATGTCTAACCTGTTGAGACTTGCCAAATGATATCTACAGTTGTGTTCAAAATAATAGCAGTCCAACATCATTAACCAGAACAATCATGGTTTTTGAAATTATATTCCTACATGGCAAATAATTTACTAGTAGGTGTAATAGAGTAATAGAAAACCAACAGAACCAACAGTCATGGAAGGCATGCTGCCAATTTTGTGTAATTGAATCGTTAATTGAAAGGGGCGTGTTCAAAATTATAGCAGTGTGAAGCTCAATTAGTGAGGTCATTCATTTAATGAAAAAACAGGTGTCAACAGGAGGCCCTCATTTAAAGACAAAGGCAGCAAATGTTGTAGTGTATTTCTCTCTGACATTCGGAGTAAAATGGGTCATTCCAGACATTGTTCAGAAGAACAGTGTACTTTGATTTAAAAAGTTGATTGGAGAGGGGAAAACATATAAAGAAGTGCAGAAAATGATCTCAAATGCTTTAAAATGGCAACCAAAACCAGAAAGAAGTGGAAGAAAACAGAAAACTACCACTCGAATGGATGGAAGAATAGCCAGAATGGCAAAGACTCAGCCAATGATCAGCTCCAGGGAGATCAAAGAGGGTCTAAAGTTACCTGCGAGTACTGTAACAATTAGACGCCTATGCGAAGCCAAGCTATCAGCAAGAAGCCCCTGCAAAGAGCCATTGTTGGAAAAAAAACATGTGCTGAAGAGGTTACAATTTGCCAAAGAACGCATTGACTGGCCTAAAGAGAAATGGTGCAACATTTTGTGGACTGATGAAAGCAAGATTGTTCTTTTTGGGTCTGGGGGCCGCAGACAGTTTGTCAAACGACCCTTAAACACTGAATTCAAGTCACAGTACAGTGAAAACAGTGGAGCAGGGTGGCACAAGCATCATGATATGGGGATGTTTATCGCATACCAGGGATAATGGACCAGTTTGAATAAATCAAAATACTTGAGGTCATGTTGCCTCATGCTGAAGAGGGAATGCCCTTGAAATGGTTGTTTCAACAAGACAACGACCCCAAACACACCAGTAAGTGAGCAACATCTTGGTTCCAGACAAACAAGATTAACGTTATGGAGTAGCCAGCCCAATCCCCGGACCTTAATCTAATAGAAAACTTGTGGGGTGACATCAAAAATGCTGTTTCTGAGGCACAACCAAGAAATGCAGAGGAATTGTGGAATGTAGTCCAATCGTCCTGGGCTGGAATGCCTGTTCACAGGTGCCAGAAGTTGGTCGACTCCATGCAACACAGATGTGAAGTAATTCTCAGAATCACTGGTCATACAACTAAATACTAGTTCAGTGATTGTCAGTGTATAGAAATAAAAGCTTTTGTAAGGATTTGGGCCTTTTGTCACTTTTTTCAACACACTGCTATTGTTTTGAACACAACTGTACATCCTCACACTAGCTTTGTCTCTCTCCCTCCTTCTACTTTTATTAGTCTGTGAGTGTCATCTCTTCTCAAGCAACACTCGGAGAATAAAGCATCAAGGATTGTCATGCACTTGATACAGTGGTATACCACAAGGGCATATACAGTCTCCTCTAAAAGTATTGGAAGGGTAAGGCAAATTCCTTTGTTTCTCCTTAAGAGGAGACTGAAGGGAGAAACACCCCGAAACAAACAAGAACTGAAAGAAGCTGCGGTAAAAGCCTGGAATAGCATCACAAATGAAGAATGCAACAGTTTGGTGATGTCGATGGGTCGCAGGCTTGAGGCAGTTACTGCAAGCAAGGGTTATGCCACCAAATATTAAATGTTATTTACTTAAGATTATTTGTTCCATTACTTTTGCTCACCTAAGAATGCTGTGGTCTGATACAAACGGCGATATGTCCTGAGTTGTTTAACACATCTAGATGTGAAAACCAGGAAAAAAAAGCTGAAATTCTGAACTCTTGTCTCATACTCTTCTTTTGATCTTAAACCCAAATGTCTTCAGTGAACAACAAAAACAAAGGAATTTGCCTTACTGTTCCAATAATTTTGGAGGGGACTGTAGTACATGCATGTACATACATTCAAACTTTATGAATAAAATACAATCACAATCAAAGGTAGACTTTATGTAAAGTAGGGGCCTGTATAATATACTGTGCCAAAAGGGAACCACAATAAATCACAGTCCTGTACATGTACTGCATATCTACAGTAACTAAAAGAGAAAGGAAAGTAAAACAATTCAGGCAGGGGTAGCACCAGTGTAGTAGCTCAGCCTACATCATGCAGTAGTTGCTTGAAATGAGAAGTTTTTGATTGGTCTGGGATAGTTTGACGTAACTAGATGAGACATACATTCCTTAACTTTACCATTTAGCCAGGAAGCGTGTGTAGCCTTGGAATAAATCGGGTATGACAATGAAACGGTGACTGATTTAATGGTAAACCATGGGAATATTATGGTTAGTATTAACGTTACAAAATGTAATTATCATTAAAATAGTGTTTGATTACCATGATTTGAAAAACTCGCTGTAAATATTGTAGGGCTGACTCTGCATAGTCGAAGATTTGATGCTTCGATGGGCGGAGCCTGATTCGACTGTCAATCTCACAGTCGAAGCTTCGCAGCGAAACAAGGATCATGCCATTTTGGCGATATGGGGGGTGCTCAACGTCTGATTTTACATAGAACTACCAGTTTTTTCTCCCAAAAAGTTAATATACAGCCTATTACAATATACATTTCAACGTTTAATACTGTAAATAAACATGTAAAAAGAAAAAAACTTACAATAAATGTTTTTAAAGTGCTTAAATAAATCCAAAATTGTAACCCTAACCCCATACAAGACTGCTCTTTATTCATGTCAAATGTTAGGCTTGATCTTCTTAAAACTCATTTATTAGTGTACACATTCATTGTATATACTTTATAACAGCTTTAATGTTGATGCACCTTTGATGTGCATTGCATATGTTTGCATATTGCATATTATATTAAGGTTTATGTAAACAAAAAGTGCACAGTGCTGCTAATTTACTGTAACTGCACATTTGTGGTTTTCAAAATAAAATTATTTCAGTTTGTGTATCAGTATTTATTGAACATTTTCAGCACATTTTAACCAATAAATTTCATACTGTTTTATCTCTAGTCAGTCTACATGAACCCTGAAACACTGAATCAGAATGCGTTTTTACAGGG